TTGCCCATCATCGGAATTACGACCAGAGGTTTGGGTAACTAGGTCGGCGGGTTTCTCCGATTATGGGTATTCGGAGGCCGATTTATTTGATGACATGCTAATCGGCGCGAAGTTAACCCCTGGTATGGGAAGAGAGATCCTGGGATACGGGAATGGATATAGATTTTTGCAAATTTTGTTACTCTTTGCGATTAATTTACTTCTTAATTATTATCAATGGGGAAAATGGAAAAGCAAGTTGACTTCGAAAAAAATTTCCATGACGATTTTAATGAAACGATGCTGATTTTCTATACAGAGCGTTCGCCATTTTCTTCAGTTAAAACAATTGTTCCCTTTTTCCTCCAGCAAAACAATGCAGATTATCCCCTTACTTTTTTTGGGCAATGAAAGATTATCCTCTCAAGTCAATTCAAGGGATTTTAAATTTTTGATAATTAAAATTAAAATTTCAAAACTATATATAATCATACAAAATGGAACCTAAATAATTTAGTTTATTTAATTAGTGAAGCTTATATATAGTACTAATATTCATTTTTGTTTTGGAATAAAACAAACAACAAATTGAACCAATTGAAAATTTAAAGGCTCTCTATTACAAAATACTGTACATTTTAAATATTAATTTTAAGGGACTTAGATTAAATCAGCCGAGCTTCATCAAACAAAAAAAATCAGCAGCAAATAAAAGCAACTATATCCTTCATAGCTTGTGCTTGTTGATCTATTGTCACAAATTAAAGAAGAAGTAAAAAAGAATTTCATTTCTCCTGATGCCGATAATGGAATCAAAGAAGTGGAAAAAACAAACCTTTGTGGCTTTTTCATGCTTATAATTTCCTTATCCTATCAGATGCATGCGTATAGAGTTATACAAATTTAGAATAATTTGGTGAAGTCACATAACGTAGGTAACAATAATTCTTAGTCGTATCCCATTAAAATAAAAAAAGATGTTAGTTTGCATACTTGTATATATTAAGCCTAGCACAAGAAAAATCAGTTTTTTTTTTTCGTTAACACAGTATAATCAGGTTTTTGACACAAATTAATTTTACATTTACTTACAAACTACCTATTTATAATGTTTGTATGGATTCAAATCTATGTTCTCAAACACGGTTTTTATGCATCTTACCACCTGAATCAATTCCCAAATCTAAGGAAAAATATCCGATTTATAAGACCAACACTCATGGGTAAACACGCAAAAGAGAAAAAAAAGCTAAACCCAGGCACCTCTCTATTGAAGTTGATTTGACGAGTAAATTTAATGATGAAGACATTGCAAGATATTGGGATACGTTTATTTATATCAACGTTGCGGTTTCTCTTTAGAATGTTTTGTAAGGTTCATAAAGCACCAAGACGCATTTTATTCATCTTTATGTCAGCCTGTGTTGTATTTAATGGAACTTGGAATTTCTATTCTCATGGGGTTCAGCTTGCTCAAATCCCTGATTATTGTTAACTTTCTTATGAATGAATGCTTAATAATTTATCAAAAATTTGGTAACATTTTGCTCGTCTGATAATCACCTCTATCTTATGAAAAAATTTTTATGTGAAACTTAATAAATGTGAGGTTTGAGTTTTACTATTAATATTCAAAAAAATAATTTATTCAAAACACTTTCTCTTTTATTGGCCACGTTATTTTGGTCCCTCAAGAGGTTCGTTGAAAGCTTTAAAAGAAGCTTACGTGGCCCAATGAAAGGGGAAGTGTTGGCCGGAAGTGCAAAAAGCGAGTGCCCCTAGCACTGCTCTTCCCTTCTTTTATTTCTTTAAACTTTCCTTTTGTCATTCCACTCATCATCGCT